AAGCAAAACGAAACAATCGCTTACAAAATGCTTCCCAGTGCACTTAACTCCGACAGCAATCCTATGAGCTGCTGCCATCATACTTGCTTTATAAACAAGCAACTTACCTAAGAGTGTGCAATGGTGAAGCAGCAGAGCCAAGATCTGACCCAGACGTCCCGGCTCCAGAGCCCCCGTTTACATCTCCTGTGTGTAAGTGGCTCCCCAAAGTGGGGAGCGGCCACCCAGCAGGGAGCCAGCCGGAGATGCTACCGAGGTCACCTCTCATATCTCGCGATGAATGTCCCCGTGTGGTAATGTGGGTGTTATTATCCCCATCTGGCAGACGAGGAGACTGAGGCTTAGTATGGGTTAGCACCTTACTAAAGACAAGAGCTGGGAATCTGGCTGAGATCTCTGAGAGGTTTGACTACTTCTGTCTCCCTGTGACAGCTGGATGTTTTTATTAGGTGGCTCCATTTGATGAACACAATGAAGTTGTCAAGAGAAGTTGCAAAATGCTTATGACTTGCTTTTAAAATACAATTATACACATAAATTATATTATGAACAAAAGTCCCTGTGTCCATGCAGGAGGCCATGAGATGCCCTAAGAGTCAGCGTCCTCCCTGTACTTGGCATTGTGCTGGGGGCAGTAGGGAGTATTTCAGACAAGATGTTGGGGAGACAGATCCATGGACCCTTAGTGGGCATCAGGGGTCAGTGCCTTGGTGGCTTATCACGGATTGAAGGGTTTTGACCCCAGCTTTGGGGGCCTGGGGATGCCTTTTTGATGTAGCAGCAAAAACACCAGCTTTGGAGCCAGAGAGTTTTGGGGTGAAGCCCCTGCTTCTACCAGATCATAAACTGCAGGGTGTAGGATGCATTATCTAATCTCTGGGTCTTAGTGTGCTCATTTGTGAATGGATGTAGGATACACTTGTGAGGATTTGTGGGGTTATACGGGTAAGAGCTTCTTTGTAAAATGCTCTTCAAATGTGATTTTCTTATTATCATTTCACCCAGAAGTGTCCATGGTCTTGAGACTGACCTAAACAAACCAAACTCTGGACAGAGTCATCAATGGACCAAAATTTTAATTAATTGGTTTATCATGAGAAATAGAACTGCTGTAGAAACCAGAACACTCAGGCCGATGTCAATGGCACTAGGACCTCAGTTTCCTCATCTGCAAAATGGGAAGAATACAGGAACAGTCAAGTGGGGAACTATTTTAGAATGCAATGAGGCCAGGTGAGGTGGCTCATGCCTGTAATCCCAGCACCCTGGGAGGCCGAGGCCGGAGGATCACTTGAGCTCAGGAGTTCGAGACCAGCCTGAGCAAGAGCGACACCTCGTCTCTATTAAAAAAATAAAAATATAAAAATTAAAAAAAAATTAAGAATGAGATGAGGTGAACAAGTAAAACAGTAGCTCTCTGTCCTGGGGATTGGATTATTTGGGCTGTATTGCAGACCTACTGATAAAATGCTTTCTCTTCAGTTGTTCCTTAAAGAGACCACTCTTTGGTCACAACAACGTGGGACAGGACCGGGAATCAAGAGTCCTGCGTTCACTCAAGGTTCCAATCCCAGCTCTGCTCCAAACCAGCTGAGTGTCTGTGGGAAAATCGTTTTTGCTTTTCTGGGTTCCAGTTTCCTCCTCTTAAAGGGAGGGCCTCGTCTTCCACCATCCACCCACGGCAAGGCTCCTGCAGCTCAGACCTTGCCCTGAACTACGTCATAGCAGCAGCGCTCATGAGGTTACCTTCCATGTCCTAGGTAGATTCACATCCTGATGCCTGCGATGGATGTTGGGCCACACCCTGATCTTGCGGGGAATCCTCCTTGGACTGCTTACCTCTCTGGAATGCAGGTGTCCTCACCGTGAAAACAGCATCCTGCGTGTGGTAAGAAACTCCCTGCTCCCTCCTCACCCCTACAACCATAGTTTCTTTATCAAGTCCTAACAGAAGAATTGGAGTGAAAACATTTTCCGTCTTCATCATTTTCCTGACGGAACCTTCTAAGGATGCCACCCAAACTCCAAGAAATGCTTTTCAGATAAATATCTCTGGGAAGTGGTTTAGTTGAGCGGTATGGACAACTATTAATACACCTACAAGTCATTTAGCTTCCTGAAAGCAACTCTCCACAGTTCATTCTTGTCCAGGTTTAATTTAAGTAACATTTATGTGGGTGTGTGTGGGGGGCTTCTAATGATAAAAGTAATGCACATCCATGATAAAGTATCTGGAAAATATAGACTAGCACAAAGAAGGAAATGAAAACTCTAACCACAGTCCCACTCAAAGATAACTACTACCAACATTCTGATATATCTCTTTCTAGGAGAAAAAAAATATATATATGTATATATATATGGAAAGAGAGAGAAAGAGATAAACTAGTTGAACACAGTAACAATATTTTCATGTGTAGACACATTTCTTTTACACATCTGAGATTTAAAATTAAATTTCACTCTTCAAAAATATTTGATTTCATATAAAACACATTTTATCACCTTAAAATTCTAGAGCTTTTCATATACAAGATAACTTTTACATAATATATTCTTTATCTAGACACAAACTGTTTTTCAAATTTGGGCTCACACCATGTCAACTTGTTTGTAACTTGCTTTTTGAAAAAAAATTTTTCCTGTTTATGAAAACTAGGGCATACTTTACATATTTTTTTAAGGCAGGGCTTCACTTTGTCGCCCAGGCTAGAGTGCAGTGGCGTCATCACAGCTCACTGCAACCTCCTACTCCTGGGCTCAAGCAATCCTCCTGCCCCAGCCTCCCCAGTAGCCGGCCTGTGCCCTCACACCTGTCTACTTATACTTTACATATTAATGTACAGTTCAGTGAGTTTCGACAAACACAAATACTAGTGTAACTACCACCACAATCAGGATATAGAATCTTACCTGTCATTAGATAATCATCTAGTGTATCACTGGGAATGTCACCAGATTTTCTGTCATTTGGAAGTATTATGATTTAACCAATCTCTTTTTCTGTTTAGGTTGTTTACAATTTTCCTCTTACTGATTTTGCAATCTGGGGGAATGAAATGAATGAGTGAAATCTGGGAGTCTCATTATCCTGGAGCTATATCAAATGGGCTTCTCCCTTTTCTGCTGGGAAAATTTCGCATCATTCCATACCCAGCTTACGTGTTGTCTCCTGGGTGAAGCCCCCATGATGCCAGCTGGAGAGTTAATTGGATAGACGTTGCAACAGTCCCTCTTCCCAACTCCAGGCTGTAAACTCAGCACAGAAATGATGTCTTGGGCAGCTCTGTGTTCCCAGAACCTAGGCTATGTTTAGCCCACACATGCTTCACATAAAATGAACCAACATTTGAACCAACATTCTACCCCGTTCAGCTAAATTTTGGTATTGTGCTGATTTCTTAGGAGACAGGTACTTTATGAGCATGGTACAAATATGGGCTGGATGAATTAAGCAGGTAAAGATTAAAAAATGTTTTTCCATTTATAAAAACTAGGGCGTACTTTACATATTAATGTACAGTTCTGTAAGTTTTGATAGAGTAGTGTAACTATCACTACTATAATTTTTTTTCAAAAAAGCAGATTACAAACAAGTATACAAAGTGTGAGCCCAAATTTGAAAAAGAAAACAGTTTGCATTTAGATAAAGAATATATGACATGAAAGTTATTTATTACAGACCCAAGGATCAGGGAAACTCAGGACTTGTGGGGAATTACTGGCGTGTGGAGGGGCAAATGGTCCCTGCAGAACACCTCATAGAACCAAGTGATCACCTTTACAATTTTAAAATAGCAAAAAACTTAGCCAGAGGTGCAAATTCATATTTTTGTGTAGTTAATAATATTTATTGAATGAACGAATAAATGAATGGAAGGAAGGTGTACCAACCCTGGTAGGTAAGAAAGTCAACGAGAGGTATTCCTTGTTCTTGGTGAGCTCACAATGGGGAATCAAGGAATTCACCTTGGAAGGGTTCACCTGCACCAGCCCCTGCCCCCACGCAGCCTCTCCTCAGATTTCATTAGTTCAGAGGCTTCTGGCTGCCTCCCCATCAACAGCAGACCACTGGCCAGTGGTGACTAGCAATGATGTCCTCACAGGTTAGTTTGTGCTTCAGGAGTCAAATCCTGGGAGGAGATGGTAGAGCATCTGCTTTAATTTATTACAGGTGTAATTATTAACCTCTGTATCTGCAACATCTAGCACAGGACTGGGCACCTAGGTGTTTAAAAAGACCACGACTCTCGGAGTGCCTCCGCAGCCAGGCTGCTCTTCCCATACGTTCCATTTCTTAAGAAGCTCCGCAGGCAGATCTGTAGCATCTTCCCACCCCACAGCGCAGGCACTGCGTCCCAGGCGGGCTTCCTGAGTTGCCCAGGCCCACCCGGCAGAGCAGCAGTACCGGCGGGGCGCCGAGGCAGCTGAGCCTTGGCTGCAAAGCCTGCATTCCGGCGCTGCTCATCTCCGCCTCCCAGGTACGGCAGGCAGCGCTCAGTAAATGGGTCTTGCATGCAAACCGCGTCCTACTGAGCCTGATGGGATCAGTCCGAGGGGGCCCCGCGACGCGGTGGGCTTTGGCCCCGGCTCGCTCGTCCCTAAGGTGCGAATCAAAGCACCTCCTACTTGGAGGGCTGTGTAGACGCGACGTGTGGGCAGCGTCTGGCTCAGAACCCGAGGCCCAGCAGACGCTTAGTAGAGGCCCCTGGTGTCCCCGCGGCTGTGGGAAGAGATTCCCGTCGCCAGAAAACGAAGACGCCGTCGTGGGGAGGCCAGAACCCCACCTGTGGCTGGGCACCTGGGCGGGGCCCGGGGGCGGTGCTACCCCGCGATCAGCCAATAAGCGCCCCAGAGCGCTCGCCCGCCCCCTCCTGGGGAGGTGGCGCTTGCGCACTCGGGCCCCGGCGGTCCCCCAGCCCCGGGCCCCTCCTCCGGGGCGTTGCTGACGCTCGCGCCGACGCGCCCGACGTCGGGCACGTTGACGCCGGCGACGCGCAGCCGGGCCCGCAACTCCGCTCCGCCAGTGTCCGGCCGCGGGCCGGCCTTAGTGACTGGGGCGGCGGGCTCGGGGGCCGCGGCGTGGGGCGGCGGGCGGACGCCGGCTGCGGGCTGCCTTCGTCGGCCCTCGAGCTCGCCCGGAGCGAGCAGCCGCCCGCGAGCCGCCGCGGAGCCTCCTCGCCCGCTGCCGCCGGCGAGCAAGGTAAGGGAGCGGGAGACTGAGGCAGGCTCCTGGCGCAGCGGGGCTCAGGGCGCCCCCGGAGCCGGCAAGTCCCGGTTCCCGCGGCGGCCGCGGGGCCGATTGAATGTCACCCAGGGGGAAGGGTGCGCTCCGGCGCGGGCGGGGGCTGGGGACGAGGCCCGCGGCGCCGGGCCAGCGTGGGAGAGCCCTGCGGGCGCCCAGCAGGACCCCTGCGCCTCCCCAAGCTCCCCGAGAGACCGACTCCGGGGCTCCGCGCCGCCCCCTCTCCTGACCCCAGCGACCGGGTGACCCTAGCGCTGGGGCGAGGGGCGGAGACCTGTGGCCGCGGGAAGTCCCGACCCGGGCCGGAGCCCGTTGTCAGTGGTTCTATCCGCCCTGGGGTCCGGGGCTTCTGCAGCACCTGATGTGGGAGGGGAAAGTGTGCGGTGTGAGTGGGTTAGACTAGGTCATTATCGCAGTCAGGTGCGCTTACTTGGGCATCTTCGTCTTGGGGGGTCCACTGGGCCCGAATGCTGCCCGGAAACCTCAGGAGCGACCCCCCTTCCCCTCTCCCCGTCTTTATATTTGAGACACTTAATAGCCTCTCATAATCTCACCTTTCACTTTTCCTTCCTTCCTAGCCGTCCCTGGCTGTATCGACCTGCTATATTTCCATTGTGGAATTTTTTTTTTTTTTTTTTAAGCAGTAAACTTACGTAAGTTAGGTTGACTGACCAACCATTGTAGCCATTGAAAAACACCTCTCCCAGCACTTAATGAATCCAGTTCCTTTTAGTGCTCACCAAATCCAGCCCAAGAATTCAGGGAGCCGTCAGTCCTTCTCAGGAGCTGACTGCACACATTCCTGTAAGATGCCTGATGGATTTTGTACTTGTCAGTTTTGCTGGCTCTATCCTCCTTCTGAGCTTTTCCTGAAAAATGATTGGGTATTGGGTGGCATGTGTTTTGACTTTGTCTCCCCCACCGGGAAATAGAAAAATTAGGTAACAGAAGGACACTTGTTGTCAACAACTGAGAAGTACAACTTTGCAAACAAAGTACTGCAGGGTTTGCTCTTTATGTGAGGGGTAGTCTCGGTTTTTACCCCTTCACTGATTATTGTCTGTATTACTGTCTTCATGTGTGTTCCTGCACTTAATATTTCCCTGTGTATGTTTTCCCCGCTTACTTACGGAGAAAGCATAACAGATCTGAGAGAAAAATGAGGCTGCCAACCTTTTGTTTATTAGCTACAGATACCTATAAAGTTGCAGATTTGCAGGAACCTGTATGCTGCCCTTAATGACTCTAGCCTGGGTCTTTCCTTTCAAGATGATGTGCGAGGTGATGCCAACCATCAGTGAAGCAGAAGGGCCCCCAGGAGGAAGTGGGAGCCATGGATCCGGCTCCCCTTCGCAGCCAGATGCAGATTCACATTTTGAACAGTTGATGGTCTCCATGCTGGAAGAAAGGGACCGTCTTCTGGACACGCTGAGAGAGACCCAAGAAACATTGGCACTAACCCAGGGGAAATTGCATGAGGTTGGTCATGAAAGAGATTCCTTACAGAGACAGCTCAACACCGCACTTCCGCAGGTATGGGTGCTTTTAACCTGGAACTCCACAGCTTTTTTTCCACTAAATGTTTCTCGTTGGTGTCATCTTTCGTTAATATTTTAGATGAGTATTTTGTATAACCATTTGTGAAATTATGGCTTCTGGTATTTATAAGTCACATACGAAGTTCCTGAGGATTAACCTTCTTAGGGAGAACAAACTGTTGTACTCTAAAGTCATGTGAAAATACCGTATTATTCTCACTTCTGTCTTTGGGGAACTGCCTAGATTTGCGAAATACTCCAGAGTTTTTGAAAAGGGACCATGAAGCAACAAGCTACATGGTGCCTTCCATTCTGTTGTCGCAAACCTTTTATTGTTAAATGTGTATTTTCCCATGGATTACATCTCATGTGTTTCCAATTTCCTAATGAAATCTAATAGACAAATAATACTGATTTCACAGAAGAAAAATTTTTTACAGCCTACCTTTGTCAGAACACCTGTGTTTTATAAGGCAAATTTGTTTTAGGGAATAGAAGACTAGAGATAGATTCCTTAGGAACTTTCTCCTTGTCAGATAAGAATTTTAAACCTTAGAATTTTAAAGCTTAGAACAACTGACGTTGTTTCTCTAAGTTTATTATATTTGGACCAGTGTTTCAAAGCCTTATTGAATCGAATGAGGATTTAATGGTAGATGAAGAGAGAAAGTGTTAAAACTAGAAAAGTGTAAGGTGAATAATGCAGAGCACAGTGGGAGATAAGGAGGTTACTTTATGTTTACTTGGGTGTTACTTTGGAGTTATCTAGGTGCCGTTTTACTTATTCAAAATGAGTGCCCATATGGTGCCTTCAGGTAGACCTACATAAGCATACATTTATACTTTCATGATGGGTCTGCAGTGATAAATTAGTACATGAGTAATTACTAGCCTTAATGCATTTCTTGGCTATAGTCGGTTCTCCTGAAAGATTGATAAGCCAAACGTTTGGATTTCCCTTTTAGCAGCAATAATTTGATGTTATGCTGTATGTTCCTTTTTTGTTGGGTTAGAGAATCATTAAAATTTTTTTCATTTGAACCTTATGAATTAGCAAGTTTGTTTAGGTCAGATTTTATTACCACAAGTTTAAAAGGGTTGGCCAACTTACGTTTTACTGGGATGTTATTGCATTTGCACATCTTTTCAGTAGGTTTTGTTTTTTTTAATTGTGTTTGTTTTAATATAATTGAGGTATATTTACTGAGGTGTATGTCAAATGCTTTTGTATTTAATAAGGTAGTTTTTGGAAAGCATGGGCACACAGGACATGTCAGGAAAGTGACAGGAATTTTGTACAGTTAGTCTCAGCAGTGGGGGTTGTCACACCCACTGGTGAGATGGTTGCTCAGTCATTTGTTTCTGGCTACCGCTCAGTGTGGAAATGCCTAGTCGAGTGGATAATGCGATGGTGCCAACAGTCCACGTCACCTCCTGAGCACCTGATCCCAGCATTTCAGAAACGGGAACCAGTAATTAAATTTATTTTGGACCCTTCCCTTTCCTGGAGTCTGGCTCATCTTTGGTGGCTAATAGTGTGACCAAATAGATGAATGAATCAAGTAAGTGCATTTGTACTCCTGGCACATTATGTAGGCAAATCACAGTATACGTTCAAGAAATTTAACATGCATTAGAACATTTCACAACTCATAGTGTATGTCTCAGTGAACTTTTCACAAAGTTAACACACTTGTGTAACCACCACTCATATCAAGAGGTGGAATATTACCCGGCTTCCTGGAAGCGCCCACCTAATTGCTCCCAGTAATTGTCCCCCAAAGCTAACCACGGTCTTCACATTTCATCGTTGATTACTTTTGCCTATTCTTGGCTTTATGTGAGAGAAATAAAATAATTCATATATTTTTTTTCTTGGTTCTTTCATTCAGCGTTATGTTTGTGAGATTTGTCTGTGTTGTCTCATATAGCTGTGCTCATTCTCGTCTGTTGTCTGGTAATCCGATGTACAAATATACCATAATTTAGTCTTTCTACCCTTCATGAACATTTGGGTTGCTTCTAGTTTTTACAGATGCGGCTCTAATATTCCTGCTTGTTTTTTGGTGCAGATATATATAAATTTCTGTTGGGTGTATAGAAGGGAGAGGAATTGCAGGGTAATAACTGTGTGCATTTGTTCAGCCTTGGCACATATTGGTTGTGATAGCTGGCACTACCACCAACAGTATATGAGAAGTCAGTTCATATGTTCTCCAACACTTGGTATTGTCCATTGTTTTAATTTTAGCAATTCTGGTGGGTATTTAGCTCAGCGTGGTTTGAATTTGCTACTCCCTGATGACAGGTAACATGCAGAGATAGAGCTTCTCGGCATGTGTTCATTGACCATTTGTGTGTGTTTGTTTTTCGTAGAGATGAGGTCTCGCTATGTTGCCCAGGCTGATCTCAAACTCCTGACTTCAAGCAATGCTCCTGCCTCGACCTCCCAAAGTGCTGGGATTATAGGCGTGAGCTACCACACCTGGCCTCCATTGGCCATTTGAATGTTGTTTTTGTGAAATGATTGTCTTTGGCCCATTTTTCCATCGGGTTGTCTGTTTTGTTTCTTATTGATTTGAAGGAGTTCTTTGTATGTTCTGAGTACATATGGTCGATTGTTTTTAGGCTCTTGTGTTTGCCTTTTCACTCTCTCAGTGGTATCTTTTGATAAGCAGAAGTTTTAAATTTTTAATGTAACCCAGTTGATCAATTGTTTCAGTAATGTTTAATGCTTGTGTCCTGTTTAAGAAATCTGCTAGACAAAGTTCATGAAGGTATTAAACTATATTGTCTAGTAAAAATTTTAATTATCTTCCATCTGAAATTGACTTCATTTATGGTGTGAGATAGGGGCCAGTATTCCTATTTTTGTTGTTGTTTAGTATGTGGATATCCAGTTAACCATGCATACTGTATTAAAAGGACCATCCTTTCCCCAGTGTACCACATTGTCATCTCAGTCAAGTGACTATAAATGCATGGGTCTATTTCTGGACTCCCTTCTGCTGTGTTGATCTTTTGGTTATTGTTGCACAAATCGCACACTGTCTAAATTACCATAGATGTAGTCTGTCTTGAGATCTGGTAATTTAAGTCCTACACCTTTATTCTTCAAGATTTCCTTAGCTAGCCTTGGCCCTTTGCATTTTCAGATAAATTTTAAAGTCCATTTGGCAATCTTGCCCCCAAAAATGTGCTGGGCTTTTAATTGGTATTGCATTTAATATATAGACCAACGTGGGGAGAAATCACATCTTTTTAATATTGACCTTCTAATCCATGATCATGAAATAGCCTTCTGTTTATTTAGGTCTTCTTTAATTTGTCTTAATATTTTTTAGTTTCTTGCATATAGGTCTTATACATCTTTAATTAGATTTATTCACAGGTATTTGATTTTTTTGATGCCATTGTAAATTATATCTTTTAAAAAATAAGTTATATAATTGTTTATTACTAGTTTAGAGATAGAATTGATTTTTTGCATATTCATCTTGCTAAATTTATTTGTAGGAATGATACTTGTATTTTCTCTGTGTGCATAGTTATGTCTGCAAATAATGACAGTTTCTTTTTTCTCAAGTGCTATAACCATTTTATTTTTCTTTCCTTATTGCACTGGCTAAGATTTGTAGTACAGTGTAGAATACAATAGGTGTCCTTGTCTTGCTTTCAATATCAGGGGGAAAGCTTTCACTGTTTCACCGTTAAGTGTGATAATTACTGTAGGGTTTTTGTAGGTCTTCTTTATCAAAATATGAACATTCTTCTCTATTCTTAGTTTGCTAAGAATTTTTAAAAATCATGAGTGGGTATTAAATTTAAATTTCTTAAATGTGTTTTCTGCATCTTTTGAGACAGGTGATTTTTCTGTTATGTGGTGATTTAACTTTTTTTATTTGCAATTCTAGACAAATTCTAACTTGATCTTGATGAATTCTCCTTTTACTGGATTGTATTTGTTAATATTTTGTTTAGGATTATAGCATCTATACTTATAAGAGAGATGGACTTGTAATTTTACTTTCTTGTATTGTCCTTGCTAGGCTTTGGTATTAAGGTTATTCTGGTCTTTAAAGTGTTCCTTGTTTTTCTGTTCCCTAGTAAAGTTCCTGTGAAATTGGTGTTTTCTTTCTTAAATGTTTAGAAGAATTGGCAAAACCAGATGGTGCAGAATTTTCCTTGTGAGAAGGAAAAAGTTCAGGATTAATTTTGTAAGTAGAAATGAGATTTTTAGTATTTCTTTGTATGTCTGTTCAGGTAAGGCATTTTTTTCCCCTAGGGATTTGGTCAGGCTGCCCATACCTTCCAATTTGTCAGTATACAATGGCTTATAATGTCCTTATTATGTGCAGTGATGTCCCCTTTAATAATTTTCGGTACTAGTAATTCCTGCTTTGTCTCGTTTTCTTAATCAGTCTCACAAGGAGTTTGTCATTTTTTTACAGTTCTTTCAAAGAACCAACTTTTTCTAGTTTCTTGAATAGATAATTTATTTTAGGCTTTCTTTTTTTCTAATATATGTATTTAAGGCTGTCAGTTTCCTTCTAAGCACACTTTCAGTTGCACCCCACAAGTTTTGATAAGTCAAATTGTCATTATTGTTTATGTAAAAATTTTTCTAATTTTCACTGTGGTATCTTTATTCAAAAAAAATTGGGGGAGTATATTTCTTAACTTTCCAGTGTTTGGGAGTGGATTTTCTAGAGTTCTCTTTTTATTGATTTCTAGCTTAATTCCATTATATACCTAAATATACTCAGCATTATTTCAATCCTTTGAAATGTGTTGAGTTTCCTGATACTCCAGCATATATTTAGTATTGTTAAATGTTTCCTGGGCACTCAAAAATAATGTATATTTATGGGAATGCAGTATTTGATATTTATCAATTATATCAACTTTGCTAATCATGTAATTCAGATTCTAGTAGCCACATTAACAGATACAGGATACATTTTATTATTTTATTCATTTATTTATTTAGAGACA